AAATCTGAACTTCAACTTTCAGCACCCACAAATAAAGTTTTATTGGAACACTGCTGCATTATCTATGATGACTTTAATGCCATGACAGCAAAATTGAGACCTTTGAACTACTTAGTACTTGGCCCTTTAGAGAAAATGTTTTGGCAACTCTGAGGCTAAAGCATGTTGTTGTTAGGTGCTGTCGAGTTGGTTCTGACTCATACCAATGCTGTATACAGCAGAATGAAACACTGCCCTGCCCTGCACCATTCTCACAATTATTGCTACGTTTCAGCCCATTGCTGCTGCCACTGTGTCAATCCGTCTCATTGAGGGGGTCTTCATCTTTTTTTTGCTGACCCTTAACCTTACCAACATTGATGGGCTTCTCTAGGGACTGGTCCCTCCTGACAACATCCTGGCTTCTAAGGAGCATTCTGGCTGCACTTCCTCCAACAAAGACTTGCTTGTTCTTCTGGCAGTCTGTGGTACTTTTAATAACACCACAACTCAGGCGCATCAATTCTTCTATGGTCTTCCTTATTCACTGTCCAACGTTCATCTGCATCCTCCATTAAACCCACTGACTTCTGAATTGCTTATCTAGTCTTTTAAGTCAATTTGATTGCATCTGAATAGTTCTTAAAAGAGCATAGTGGTTAAGGCAGACTTTTTTTTTTTTACTAAACTTGTTTATTGTTAGGTTTTAAGAAGACTTTGTAAGATTATCTCAAGGCAATAGCTTTGAGGAGTCATCTAGCTTCTATGATTGTAGAAAATCCATGAGAATTTGAAGTTCTATTCTGCACTTTCCTCTTTCGATGAGGAATCTTTGATCAAAATGTTCAATAATGGTGAGTTAGCATAGCAATGGAACGCTGCTTGTTTCTCGGTCTTGTGCCCTCTTCACCATGATAGGTCTGAGTCCATTTTGATGATATGGCCTCCAATCTATCTCATTTACCATTTCTCTCGTTTTCACGGACTATCAACCAGAATGTCCTAGTGATTTGTCCAAAGTAGGCAAGCCCAAATTACTCCTTCCTCATGCCTAAAGAACATTCTGGTTTTATTTCTTCGAAGTTTCATTTTCAATATTTTTATTTTCAATGGGTTCATGCTTAGTAATGATTGTGAGGATGGCACAGGTCCAGGTAGGTTTGATGATGTCAGCTTGAGGACTAAGGTGCACCTGACCCAAGCCATGGTATTTTCAATAACCTCATATGGATGCGAAAGCTGGACAGTGAATAAGGAGGATCGTA